TGTCTCCACATAAGAACACAAAGCCCGAAGTTGATTTTCGTTCATCTAAATCTCCACCGAAGTCAGCATCTGTGAAACCATGAAGAGAAACCTTGGCATTATACTTGTACATCAGTCCCATGCCAAGAGTTGTTTTCACATACTTCAATATCTTCTTTGCTGCTTCTAGGTGTGGCTTCCTTGGTTCCTGCATAAACCGGCTTACAAGACCAACCGCAAAGGAAATATCTGGTCTTGTAATGGTTAAGTATAGAAGACTTCCAACAAGAGACCGATAAGGTCGAGGATTGGCTAACAAGGATCCTTCATCGCGTTTGAGTCTTATGTTAGTATCCAGTGGAGTAGAGCGTACCTTTCCTTCATGTACTCCAAACTTGTCAACAATTCTTCTTGCATAACTTTGTTGACCGATGAATATTCAACTTCTAGACCAAGAAAGTGATTCAGCTCGCCTAACTTCTTCATCTCAAACCTCACCGACATATCCTCCTATAGACGAGCAATTTCATCCTCGTCATTTCCAGTAATAATCATATCATCCACGTAGAGGAGAACTAATACGTGAACTCTTCCACCTCTCTTGAAGAATAGGCTTGTATCAGCACTTGATGTCATAAACCCGCAAAACTGAAGAAATTGAGCAAGCTTTCCATACCAAGCTCGTGGAGCTTGTTTTAATCCGTACAAGACCTTCTTTAGCTTGCAAACATGGTTAGGATGATCTTGTGATTCAAAACCAGGTGGTTGCTCCATAAATATTTCCTTATCAAGCTCACCATAGAGAAAAGCATTCTTCACATCTAACTGCCATAATTTCCATCCAAAGATTGCAGCTAAAGATAAGAGTGAACGTACCGTAGTCATCTTTGCTACTGGACTAAAGGTCTCATCATAATCTTCTCCGTACTTCTGAGAGAATCCCCGAGCAACCAACCTTGCTTTGTATCTATCAATGCTCCCATCCGCCTTGCGCTTTAGCCGATAAACCCATTTACAAGAAACTGGTTGAGCATCTTTGGGTTTTGGAACCAGACTCCAAGTTTCATTTTTTATGAGAGCATCAATCTCCTCATTCATTGCGGTCATCCATTCCTTAACTCCTTTTACTTCTTCATAAGATGATGGTTCATCTTCATCTAGAGGAGCTGCAAAGTAACAAGAGTAAGTGGTGACGAACCTTTCATCTCTGAACCGAGCGGGTTTGACAATGTTCCTTTTTGTTCGTTGATTAGCGATAGAACCATGATTCTGCTCCTCTTCTTCATCTTGGTCAGCGCTCCCCCTTTCACCTTGAGTCTCCTTTTCAAGGTTTTCATTCTCAGTTGGAACTTGAATAATGTGATCATCAATCTTGGAAGAACCTGAATCAGCTTGCTCAGCTAAGACTTGAGGTGGTCCGTAGTACGATGAAACTTCGTCAAAGACAACATCACGAGACACTGTATATTTATGAGTCTCTGGATCCATACACCTCCACCCTTTCCGTTGTTCATTGTAACCGACAAAGATACACTTCTTTGCCTTTGCTTCCAACTTTGTTCTTTGAGAGTCGAACACATGGACGTAGCAGACTGATCCAAATATCCTGAGATGTTTCACCGTTGGCTTCTTCCCATGTATCATCTCGTAAGGCGACTTCATGTTGTTTGGACTAAGTGGCATCTGGTTGATGACGTAGACTCCACATCTCATGCCTTCTGCCCATAAGGCCTTAGGCAAATTCTTATCATGTAGCCAGCTTCTGCACGTCTCGGTTAAATGTCTAATTTTTCTCTCTGCTACTCCATTTTGTTGAGGTGTACACGGACATGTATATTCTCTCTTAATCCATTCTTTTGGAAAAAAGAGAGAAACTCCTTTGACATGAATTCTCCTCCATTATCTGTCCTTAGAGTCTTCAGCTTCTGACCAAACTCTCCTTCCACGGTAACCTTGAATTCTTGGAATCGTTGAAATACTTCTGACTTTTCCTTCACAAAATATACCCAAGTATACCGTGAGAAATCATCTACGAGCAGAAACATGTAGCGAAACCCGGAATAGGAGGATGTTCTTGTTGGACCCATCAAATCACTATGGACCTTCTCCAATGGACTGCTGCATCTTGAGGATGAATTATCAAATGGAAGTCTATATGACTTTTCATATTGACAACCTTCACATATTTTTCCTCCATCTTGAATCTTCAACTTTGGAAGTCCACGAACCAAGTCTTTATTCACCATAACCTTAAGCTTGGTCATATTTATGTGGCCAAGTCTTGCATGCCAGATGGAAGCACTGTCATTTGTACTCATCTTCTCCACATAAGCGTGTGATGCTGATAAAACGTATAAATCTTTGACGCGTGCTCCAGTGTGAACAACATCCGCCTTTAATTCTTTAATATTCCTTAAGAACTTAACATCTCTTGGGCCAAATAGAACATAGTTACCTGAGTCAACCGCATTCACCACCGAAAGAAGATTCTTCTTTACTCCAGGGACATGGTACACATTCTTGAGGGTGATCGGTTCTTCATCATCTCCTTTAATGACAACAGTCCCTTCCTTCTCAACTCGATGGATTGAATTATTGGCAGTAATAATAGCTTCTTTCCCGTCATGACGTTGAAGACTAGAAAATAACTTCTCATCTCCGGTAATATGATGGCTACAACCTGAGTCTACGATCCAGTCATTTCTCAAGTTCTTAGTTGTGGGTGTACCTGGATTTGTAGACTCCACCGTGAAACATTTTCCCCATTCTTCGTCTTCAGTATGAGTTTTTGACTCCACCATATTTATCTCCTTCAACTTGACTCGACAATCCCTTTTGAAATGTCCAAGCTTTCCACACCGGTAGCATTTGAACTTTTTCTTATCCATGAAAGATCTTTCACTTCCATCATTGTGTCTTGAACCTCCATCTTTATTTTTCGCCTTGAAGCTTTGTTGTCTCCGAGCTACAAAGGCGTTTCCCGAATCATCAGTGATTTTGACTCCTGACATTTGCATGGATAATGATTCTTGCGAAGCTAGCAAATTCTCAAACTCTTCCAAGGAAGGTTGTGTAGCCCATCCTTGAACCGAAGTCACAAATGGTGTATACTCAGGCCGTAGACCTCGAATAATAGACCGCTTCAACCGTGCTTCAGAAATTGATTCCTCCGGATTTAGAGTATTAATCTCAGAGCATAGGTTCTTTACCTTAATGAAAAACTCCGAGATTGAAGACTCCCCCTGCTTTGCATTCACAAGCTCATTCTCCAATAATTGTAGCTTAGCCTCATTCTTCTTGTTAAACAGTTGATCTAAAGCTTGCCAAATGGAACTAGCGGAAGTACACCTTGAGACATGCTCAAATATGCTTGAAGATATGGACCTCTTCAAAGCAAACTCCGCCTTGGCATTCTTTCGTGTCCACTCCTTTGTCACTTCTGGGGTTGCAGCATTTCCCCTTGGTGGTGATGTGCTATTACCACCGACGACATCCCATAAGTCCTCACTCACCAAGTATGACTTCCATAACTGGTAGTTAGATTGGTTTAAGATTTCCATTCCCAATCCAACAACACGACCCGTTGATTCCATACTTAGAACAAACCCGAGCTCTCTTTAAAATTTGATCTTGATGAGCACAATATTAGCTTGGCTCTGATACCATGTAAAGAACAAGCCAAGTTGATAGTACTTAGCACTAGCCCAAGACCGTAGTACCCGAGAGACCCGAAAGAAACAAGTGAACTTCTAAGTATGAAGAATAATATGGAAGAACTCTCAAAAGGATTTAGGGAACTTTGAGTAGACACTCTTTCTTTCTTTTAAGAAAACTTTTTTATTACTTTACTTGTTCAACTTCTTGTGGTGTTTACAAATGAGAGGGTGAAGAGGTATTTATAGCCTCCTAAACTACCTTACAAATATCTAGATTATTCTACTATAACCTCCTTACTTCATAGATTTTTATTTTTATTCTCTAGATTTTTCTACTACAATATCTAGTTATTATTCTACTTGAGGAGGTGATGATTTTTCTAGAAAGATTCTAGAATTTTCTTAACTTTGGGTTTAGTCCAATAAGATTATTGGAACCCATAATTAAGCAAAGCCCAAAATCAAGTTTAACTTCAATAGAACTTTCCCATTCTCTTCGTCTCTTCAGCATCTGTAGCCCACGAAATCTTCACAACCCACGATGTGAACGTTTCATCTCGTTACCTCCCTACAAACAAGCAAGCCGTCTTCTTTGGTACATCTGGATTTGTTAACGCACATTATGGAGAATACTGGAAGTTCTTGAAGAAAATCATTGTCACAAAGGTTTTCGGACCCCATGCACAAGAGCAGTCATGAAGCATGCGCGCCAAGGAGATAGAATGCTTGTATGGGAACTTGCTCGATAAGGCAATGAAGAAGGAGAGCGTTGAGATTCATAAGGAAGAAATAGAACTCATAGGTAACATTGTTTGCGGGATAAATATGGGAAGGAGTTTTACAGAGAAGAATGGTGAGATAGAGAGTGTCCATGATTTGCTTACCAAGTCAAATGGTTGGAAGAAGATGACCGTCTCGTCTCGGCAATGTTTTTCTTCGGACATCTCAAAAAGCTAGGCATATCACGAATGAAGAATGTAATGGGTGTTTTCATCAAATTCGACCAGCTGCTAGAGAGGTTTCTTGACGAACACAAAAAGAAACCAAGCAAGGATCAATCTACGGATATGATGGACGTGTTGTTGGCAGTTTCTGAAGACAAAAACGTAGATTACGAGTTCACTAGAAACCACATCAAGGAATTTTTGGTGGTACGTAAAATTAAATGTTCCCTCACTTTGTTTCTTTGGTCAAAATTGCGATTTTTTTTTCTGAACAATGAAATGGAAATGTGTGCAGGAGCTTTTTGTTGGAGGTATTGACACCACGGTGAACACGATACAATGGACAATGGCCGAGATCACTAACAATTCCTTTATTATTGAGAGATTGAGAGAAGAAATTGATTCTGTAGTTGGGCAATCAAGGTTGATTCAAGAAACGGAACTACCAAACCTCCCTTACTTGCAAGCTGTTGTCAAGGAAGCACTAAGATTGCACCCGCCAGTCCCTCTAATACCAAGAGAATTTCAACAAGGATGTAAGATTGGAGGGTTCATGGTACCATAAAAGACAGCTTATAGTTAACGTCTATACTCTGATGAGAGATCCAAATTTCTGGGAAGACCCTATTGAGTTCAAGCCAGAGAGGTTTCTAACCTCTTCAAATTCACGGCAAGAAGAGGACATAAAAGAGCAAACATTGATGTACCTTCCTTTTGGCGGCGAAAGGAGAGGATGTCATGCATCAAAACTAAGATATACAGCAGTAGGAACTGCAATAGGAATGATGGTGCTGCAGTGCTTTGACTGGAGAATAAAAGGAGAGACGGTCAACATGGATGAGTGCTTCAAAGGATTTAGCCACTCCATGGCTCATCCTCTTACGTTAGAGCACCCCCAATGGGGGTTCTAGCTCTTGAGGTTCTAAAAATACATAGATGTGTATGTATATATTTATATGTGTATGTAATTGCGGGGTTCTAAGCTTTACGGGAAACCCAACCAAAAAGTTCTCTGCACAGAATTTTTTAGTTGGGTTTCCCATAAATCTTAGAACCCAACAATTACATACACATGTATAATATCTACATATACATATATGTACTTTTAGAACCAAAGAGCTAGAACCTCCTATTGGGGGTGCTCTTAACTCCTATTCATCGGTTCTCCATCCTTAACTTGGAAACGTCATTGAATCTTCTTGCATAATAAGAAAAACCAAGAATGAGAGCTAATTCTCTAGTAATACTCCCATGTTTCCTTTGAATTGATGTTTTAAGATTTAATTTTGTTTCTATTTAAACAAGATATAATATGAAGTACTTCCCTAAAATGATATAAAGATTCAAGCTTTTAGAATGAGAGATAAGTTCTTGAGAGAAAACGAGATACCATAGGGGTTTTGGAGGCTAAAACTATATATAGGAGGTCCAAACTCGTCCTGGTTCAGTTGAACTAAATCGGGTCAAACTGGAATAAACTGGTCAACCAATTGAAATCACTGTCCACGATTTGACTGTCCATGATTCAGCTATACACGATTTGGCTGTCCATGATTCAGGAGTAAAACCATCACTTTTGTCTCCAAAACACCTCTCATGGCTTCCAAAGATACCATACTGAATCTTCAACACCTGATAAGGACATATGCAATGAAATGCATCCTAATTCCTAAACATGCCTAGATGCTAGCCTAGATGATCAAAAAAATACAAGGATGGATGATTAAAAACATGTAAATATGCAAGAGTTTGATCTAATTTAATATAATTTATTTTAAAATAATAGACATGCTGAGTTTGATCAAACCCTATAATTTTAAAAGTAATAACAGTAATCAAACAATTAAAAATACAATTACATTAACTAACTAAATAAAAATAATAATTTTATTTTTTTAATATAAAAAGATTTTGTAACATAATAATGTAACAAGACTAAAACATTAATTCATATTATATATTTTTATCAACAGAGAAATAATCTGCACTTTTAAGCGCATGTCAAGATCTAGTTTTGTCTTTAAAAGCAATACATTTTCATGGAAATAATGCAATTTATTTTCCAAATAATTAATATATATATGTATATATAAGAATTATGCTTAGTTAAAAAGTTATAAGCACTAAAGATTTTTTCGGACTACGCCCGGGTTTTTGACTATTAACTTATTTTCAAAAATTATATACTTTATGCTAACTTTTATTGATATATCTATTTATTTATTTTCTGAATCGTATAAATTGTGTTAAAATATATTGATATGATTTTTTTTTGTCATCACTGGTATCGCTTATAAAATATAAATTGCACCTTTTAAATATTATACGGATTGTGCGGTACAAAGAAAACTGTAGTATAGTATTGTAATTATTTTTAGTATTATGTTTAAATATCTCATAATTTTTAATTTTGATTTGTATTTGAAAAATGCTCACAATAAATGTACGATTTTGTTTTGTATATGCATGAATCTTATTATATCTTTCAAATGTATATTTGATAGTATTATTTTTATATTTTAAATTTACTATCACAATAATCTTTAATCAACTTTAGTTTATATTAAGTTGTTTAAGTTTAGATAATAGACAACAAAAATAACCATCATGAATTTTAATTCTCTTGAGTGGTTTAATCAATAAGATATTTCGCGACTCTTTCATATTTTGCTTGATTAGCTAATGCGTTTTTCTTACTTTTGTCCAGGTATTGATGCTCTTATCAAAAACAGATGAAGAAACTATACTTAACATGAGATTTATCTGTAATATATGTTAAAAATATTTGAAAACATAAATCATTTTCAGTTAAAAGCAATGTTTGAGGTTTGATTCTATGAATCTCTCACTACCCACCTCCGTTCTTGGTCATTTCAACTTTTCAGGTTTATCTTCAGTACACAAGTTCTCATAATCAGAATGATTCGTGCATAAATCACAGGTTTGATTCTATGAATCTCTCACTAATCTTGTTGTGTCACAGACCACAAGATTCTCAGAATCAGAATGATTCGTGCATAGCCAATTCACCTGTTTAAAACAAATAGATTAGCTAGTTAAGATGCAAGAATAAGAAATGGCAAAAAAAAACAGCTAAAGAACAATGAGAGCTTTTTAATTACCTTCTTGTTCAGGTCAATATTCAAATGGAGAAAATCTCTGTTATTTTTGCTGTCTGAATCAAGACATCTAACACAATCTCAGATTTTAACTGTCTTATCATTACCACCTGAGATCAAGAATCTACCTTTTTCCTGATCCTGAGAAAACGCTACACAAGAAACAGCAGCTTTGTGTCCACCAACTGAGTAATCTAAACGAACCCTTTTGAACACACTGTTGCTGCTACTGCTGCTGCTTCCTTTCGATTTTCCTTTTCGTGAAAGTTCTGATTCGACATTGATCAAATCTACAATCCCGTCACCTCTAGCAACATCGCATATCTTGTCTAACTTATCAACCATGTCTATTTCCGGATCTGCTATCGAGTGAACAAACACATGGTTTAAACTTTGTTCTGAGCTACTACGCTGTGTATCAGTGATAGGCTTGACAGAGTCTACGTGAGGAAGAAGTTAGAGAAGGAAGCCGTTGGTGTCTGACGTGGCAGAAGTAATTCAAAGTGAGGAAGTAGATACTTGTTTTGAATTAGAGTCTTTATAATTCTTTGTATTCGAAATTGTATAAAAGCCAGTGTGTTGGCTAGTGTGGAGGTTAGCTTGTAGATATGAGTAGAGTCTCTCGACTTGAGGAGTGTACCGTCTGGGTGAGGCCAGCGGTTACTCATATTCAGATCTATAGGCGAGTCCGTTATAGATTGTAATTGGATTGAGGAATTATACTGGTGATTGAGTTTATAATACGAGTTTTGAAAAGTTCGTATAGTTAAACTCTATCAATTGGTGCGGTGAGCTCGGCCATTCTCACGATGACGATCAACGAGGAAGCAGCAGAATCTACACCGTCCATCGCACGGTGGCGGAGTTACTAGATAAGGTGGAAGCGATTAGCGGGGGTTGGAGATGTTTAACATAAGCGAACGAAGAGACGAATCAGCGAATCGGCTCGGTTGAGAAGGAGCTATCAGCGATGATTCGAATCTTGAACAGATTGGTATCGCACGTTGTCGGAGACAAAGGGAAGGCGGTAGCATCATCACCACCGTCTAACGGTCATGTACATTCCGAATCTATGGGAAATGGTGTTGGAACAGAAGAGCTAGGTTATCGGCGAATTCAACATTCTTTTGCTAGTAGAGAAAGTTTATTGAAGAAGATTGAATTGCCTGTGTTTGATGGATCAATGCCATACGGTTGGATTGCTAGAGTTGAAAGATATTTCAGGTCTGCTCGTTGTGATGAACATTAAAAACTGTAATTGGTTGCTTTAAGTTTGACTGCAGTTGTTGGGAACTGGTATACATGGGAGAATGAAGAAGAACCTTTTAGCAGTTTGTTACAATTTAAGCAGAGGATGCTGGACCGTTTTGCGGAATCAAAGGATGATGAACCACGAAACAGATTATCAGCTTTGAAACAGACAGATTCAGTGCAGGCTTATGTCAAAGAGTTTGAGGAGTTGATAAATGTAGTTAAAGGGATGGATGAAGCAAACTTGATCAGTCGGTTTTACACAGGTCTCAAACCAGAGATGAAGGAAGTGATTAGGATGAAAGAGCCAAAGGGTTTGCGGAATCATATTGCGGCCGTAGTAAAGATGGAATCAAGCATCTTTTGTCAGTTGCTAGCTGATAAATCAAAGACGGAGAGTCGTCATATACGAGGTAATAATTCAGGAGTGAAACCTACTCAAAATCGAGTGTCACAGCAAGTAGATAAAACCAAGCTTCTTGTAGCTGGAAATCCAAGTACGTCTGCTGGAGACAGTACAAGAGTACACCTTACACCACAAGAACTGGCAGAATGCAAGCGTCTGAATTTGTGTTTCAAGTGCAAAGAGAAGTAATTCAAAGGCCATTTATGCGGGAAGCCAGAAATCCGAATTTTCACGGTGGTTGATGGATTAGAAATGGAGATTTTGGGTGAACAAGGAGAAGATATGACTCAGGAAAATGAAGTAGCAGAATCACGAATGATGCAACTATCGCTGTACTCATTCTTGGGAATGAAATCACTTACAACAATGAAAGTCAGAGGGCGTATAGGCAACACATCGTTGATAATCTTGATTGATAGTGGAGCTACACATAACTTCATATCTCCTCTCCTGGTGAAAAAAGCTCACCTCCAGACAACTAATAATCCTCATCTCCAGGTCCTTTTGGGCACAGGAATTGTGGTTCATGGTTCAGGCGTTTGCAAAGAGGTACACGTACATGTGCAAGGACTCGACTTTCTCTTGGATTGCATTTCCTTGGATCTAAGTGGAGTCGATTTAGTTCTTGGAGTTCAATGGCTTAGAACTTTGGGCAAATTTGAAATTGCTTGGGAACTACAAGAATGGAGTTTCGTGTGGGGCAAGGAGAGAGTCACACTACGAGGAGAAAGTGACCTTCACCTTCCCACCAATGCCTTTCAATCACTCTTGCCAGTAGAGGAAGATTCAGGGCAGAGGGTTGAACATTGGTTATACACTCACTACGCTTGTGCGGCCTCTTGTGAGATAACTCCCGTTGAAATTTCTTGTATGTTAGACAAGTTCTCAATGGTGTTTTGTATGCCAGGCGGTCTTCCTCCGATTCGTGGTATTGAACACCAAATATTATTAAAACCAGGCACGCTTCCGGTGAGTGTTCACCCTTATCGTTATCCACAAGCTCACCAGGAAGCGATGACCACATTGGTTCAAGACATGTTACAGAAAGGGATCATTCAAGCTAGCCGCAGCCCTTACTCTAGTCCTGTGTTACTGGTCAAGAAAAAGGACAAGACGTGGCGTTTCTGTGTGAATTACAGAGCTCTAAATCAAGTCACAGTGGCGGATAAGTTCCCAATTCCTATGATTGATCAGCTATTGAATCAACTACACAGAGCGGTCATATTTTCCAAGCTCGATCTCACCTCAGGGTACCATCAGATTAGAATGCAACAAGAAGACATAGAGAAAACAGCATTCAGACCACATGATGGTCACTATGAATTTTTAGTGATGCCGTTCGGACTGACAAATGCTCCGGCCATTAACCGAGTTGCTCAAGAAGGATCAATTTGTGTGGCCAGGACACAAACAACAGACATTTGACATACTTAAGGAGGTGATGTTGAATGCACCGGTCCTAGCTCTCCCCGATTTTACTCAGCAGTTTGTGGTGGAGACAGATGCGTCCGGGTTTGGGATATGAGCCGTTTTGATGCAGAATAAGAGACCTATAGCCTACTTCAGTCATGGTTTGACAGCAAGGGAACAGTTAAAGCCGATTTATGAAAGGGAACTCATGACAATGGTGTTGGCTATACGCAAATGGAAACATTATTTACTAGGGCGCAGGTTCGTTGTGCATACAGACCAAAGAAGTTTGAAATACTTGCTTGGACAGCAAGAGGTCAGTATGGAGTATCATAAATGGTTAGTGAAGTTGCTGGGGTATGATTTTGACATTGTGTTTAAGCCAGGAATTCAGAATGCAACGGCTGATGGTTTATCTAGATTCGATCACTCTGGTGAACTCACTTCTTGTACCACGTTATTTGCTATCTCAGCTCCCACAGCGTTGCAAATGACAGAGCTCTATCAGGAAATTGATGCTGATCCAAAAATTCAAGCGTCAATTAAACAGATTAAGGAGGGAAGCACAGTTAAAGTGGGGTTTACAGTATGCGAGGACATACTTTGGTATAAAGGCAAACTGGTCATTCCTTCTTCTTCACGCTTTATTCCATTAATTCTTGCAGAATGTCAAGATGGTTTAGCTGGTGGTCATTCAGGGGGTTAAAAGGATACAGCTTTGGTTTCATTGGGAGGGGCTGTTTCGCTCAGTGCAGCAGTACGTGTCAGCCTGTCAGACTTGTCAGACGCACAAGTACTCAACACTATCACCTGCATGGCTTCTCCAACCACTACCGATTCCTAATTTGGTGTGGGAAGACATCTCTATGGATTTTATTGAGCGTTTTCCTATGTCGAATGGAAACAATGTCATCTTCGTCATTGTTGATCGTTTGAGTAAGTATGGTCATTTCCTGACATTAAAGCATCCTTTCCAAGCTTCTGATGTTGCTAAGCGTTTTATCTGAGAGATAGTAAGGCTTCACGAGTTTCCAAAGTCAATAGTTTCAGACCGTGACAAGGTGTTTCTTAGTCATTTTTGGAAGGAGTTGTTCAGGCTAGCAGACACGAAGCTCAAGTTTAGCACGTTATTCCATCCATAGACAGATGGTCAAACAGAGGTGTTGAACCGCTGCTTAGACACTTATCTGTGGGAGTCGATTTCACCCTACTGTCAAACAAATCGTAAATTAGGAAACTTCGGGAAAAACCCTAAGTTTCCAGAGGAACCGGCTATCTGCGAGAACCGCACAACGAAAATAAGAAAACGATAACTTAGAATAAAAACGAAAATAAGAGAGGTTTGAGAGCAAGAAGGTTCTTATTCCGAATCTGCGTTGAACTGGTTACAAAAAGAGTAGCCGTAAACGTAAGAACTT